GATAGTATGGGAGCTTCTTTTGGGGATGATGAAGATGTTCTGAAATTGATTGTAGGGAAAGCCACCTAAGTTTGTGACCATACTGTAAAACCACTGAATTGAACATTAAAGAGGTGAATTATATGATAAGTGAATTATACCTAGTAATGCTTTTACACACACACACACACACACACACACACACACACACCCCACTCCCCACAACTTAAATAACACTCCTGAAGCTGTTGCTCCTCAGCTCCTGCCCTGACATGAGAGAGCTCCTGGAGCCTCAGACACACAGCAATTGTGCTTCTGCAATGTGTATTTTCTTAATGAAGCCTCTCCTCCCAAAAGAAGTAAGCTTCAAGCAAGAGAAACATGTGGGCCCCAAGAAAGGCCCTGCAAGGGAGGATACCGGACACTAGCTGCTTTCGTTTTCTAACAAATCTGTCCTGAAGACAGGTAAGTTAAGAGGCTAAGCCATCGACACCACCTTAAAAACAACAATAAAATGTATAAATGATGGGGGGAGCAGAGTCCAACACCAACCATAGCAGGTTGAATTAATCTTCCCTTTATTAAGTCATTTATTTCCCACTGCTCAGCACCTGACTGTACTGAAAAATAAAGTTCTAAGGCATACTTCCACAGTTCTGGGAGTTGTGCGGTTGCAGAGCAGGCTTGCTCTGTGAGTACTTCTGATAGTAGGGGAATAAGCGGATAGGCGATGTAGCATGGAGGCAGCCCGAAAGACGTTCTCTTGAGATGTGTACACCTACAGCTATCATAAAGGATGCCTACCAGCTTGCTTTCTGAGGTCAAAGCAATGAGATTTCTTCTCAAGAAAAACGATCCAGAGATCTAATCAAATAGGGTTAATTTTGCGGCTTTCCTCAGCTCTCTCACTTTCTCCTCTTAATTGCTTTCCACACCCACAAAGGGAGGGGGGGTGGAAAAACAATGATGAAAAACCACTACTAACGTGAGCTGCCAGATTCTAATGATAAATAATCACTCTCCAGTGAAACTTAATTATATGCCAGGCAGAGCTGATGGCTGGAAGCATCCGGTTCTGATGATGGCCTCCCGCCCTCCTGGCCACAATTAACTAATGTCCTTCAAGAACCTGCAGGCAGCCACACTGCTTGACATGCTTTCATGTTCTGTGGTCACCTTCTAGAAACCTGCAGGCCAAACCACAGGGGCAGCTGCAACGTGGTCTTCACGCCTACCCCAGAAGTTTCTTTTTAAGTTCAACATTTCACTTTTGCCCTTTTACAGTGGAAGATAGTGGGAGTGACCCACATGAACCGAGGTTGAAAAATAAAAATGTAACTACAAGGGTGAGGCCACTTTTAAAGCTGCCTCTGCTCTGTAAATGACAGGCTTCACTTCTGCACCCTCCAACTCGAGGGCACGCCCTAATTGTGGCAATGAGTGGCCTTTTACGTTTCACTTAGAGCAAACCCCGATGAAAATACACACCTGACTACATCCTGGCTGATGAATACATATGACACAAATCCCAACCTTAAGAACTCATCTAAGAAAAACAAAAACAAAGTGCCCACGAGGAACCAAGTGCAAGAGTGTTCTGGCAACAGTATTCCTACCATCTCCACACTGGAAGAAACTCAAGCATCTACTAGCAGGGGAGTAGATAAATTGTGGAGCCTCTATCTCCACTCAAGCAATTAAAAAAAAAAAAACTAAAACGCATACAGGTGAATCAGATAGAAGGTTGTGTGAAAGAAGATGGACAAAAAAAAAAAAATGTACTACAATCTCATTTCACATGAGGTTCCAGAACAGATCAAACTAAGTACAGTGCCTGAGATCAAAGGACAGTGGCCTTAGGGAGGAGGGGATGGAGGAGTGGGACAGTAGGAGGGTACTTTCTAAGGGTATGGAAGTCCCCGTATCTGGATCAGAGGGTGTGACAAATTCACGGGGCTATACACTTAAAATGCGTATATTTGAACATGTATACGTTACACCTTATCCAGCTGCAGTGGGATGTGATGGGTGAAATTAAGAATCACTTCGAGGGTTGCTTGATTCCGCAGAAGCCACAAAGGCATCTCAGAGAAATGCCACACAAACAGGATATCCCAAAACACTGGACAACAGTACTAGGATCTCCACTGAGCTGGCCTAGCTGGGGCTGTCCTGGGGGCCCGAGGAGGACAGGATAAGGTAGTAGGATGCCATCAGTAAGCAAAAGTGGCAGCAGGAAGCCTTGAGGGCAGCAGACAGATGGCACAGCTTGGCTTCATGGCCTGAAGTCTGCCTGTGGGGGAGTCTTGCTGGGCAGAGCTCCCCATATCCACCTAGGGACCAAATGTGCCGCAGACCCTCCAAGACGGCCTTCAGCAACCTGGTTCAAACAACCCTCTACCTCTTGCTGCCAACCTTGGGAGTACCTGACCTATCATAGCTGCAGTTCTGTGCACCTGGGGCCATGTTTGTGTGGGAGAGTTTGTCAGAATCATCGCCCTATGACCTTGACCTCCCTGTACTGTATGTGTGTGTGTGTGTGTGTGTGTAGAGGGAAGGACAGAGCTACACAAAGTCTTCCCATGTGGGGAAGCCAATCTGTGACCCTCCATGTCATCTTCTACCACTTTTTTAGGATGGTTCCTTTCATATTCTCCTCACAACTGCAGTGATTCACCTACATGTTTACTACCAAGGCTTCTCCACGCACTCTAAAGTAGATGAGAATGGGATTATAGCTGGTCACTTACCTGTTGGATGAGGAAGCATCCAGAGTGGTGCCTAGAGAGTAGTGCTGCAATAAAACTTGTTGAATGTACAGATTCTATACCTGTTACCCAACATACAAAAACCAAGCAAGCACACAAAACAAAACCCCCACACTCATTCCTACAAGTTCAGCACAAATGTGCAAGAAAGAGCCCTGTAACCCATGTCTGCTTCTCTGGGTTTTGGGGAGCTGGGAAGAGGCTCTTTGTCACTCATATTGTTAAGAACTTAGATTATAACACCCCAAAGTGGATTTTCTGTCTTTTTATCAAAGTACCAACATCTAGGGCCAGAATTGAAGGATGAAGTTCTCACAGAGTTGACCAGGAAAACACAGCTGATGAGTACTGTGTTCTCTAAAATATGGACTGCACAGGAAGCACAGATTGCAGAGCAAACATGAGGAAATGAAAACCGATCCACTTGGGAATATAAGATGAAGAGGCAGGACATATATTCTGACTTAGAAAGTCATCCAGTGCACTGTCCAAGTAGTGTACACACACACACACACACACACACACACACACACACACGCACGCTGTGGCCCAGAACCTGAAAGCTCATGATGAAATCATTTAAGGAAGAAAACCATTGACTCTGGCACCAGCCTGACATCAGGCTTGTCAAAGAGGAAGTCAGGGTTATCACCAGACATGACATGCCCATAGGAGCGCTCCCTGCCAAACCCCATTGTCAGCCAGACACAGTGCACCTTTACATCCTCTTGGTCGTGTAGACATCTGGTAAGCTACTGTCCAAAGAATCATCCTCACGTTCTGCCTCAGGTTGGCACTGCTGACTGCCCAGGGACAGGACATTCACACATGACCAGGAAAAGTCAAAGTGAACAAAGTGTAGGCTAGGAGTGATAGACTCAGTTTCCCATTTCCTGTCTGACAACTGTGAGAGCCTTCTTGAACTAGTCACAGTTTACTGTCTGTTACTTAATAAAGTAAACTTTAATAAATGTAGTCACCCAAAGACAGAATACTGGTCCTTTATGAGTGACTTTTCAGTTGTTCCCCCTTTAACATGAAGGCAGTGTTACTGGACACTTAGGCACTAGACTCTGGGAAAGAGAAACAGGTCACAGAGTGAAGAACAGTGGCTATGGTTTTGCTTTATGTGTTGGGAGCTGAGGACTCAGTGTGCTAGAGCGAAGGCGAGGGTCATTTTCAATTAAATGCCTTTGGAAATTCATCCTGACTCCATGTGGCATATCAGAAGGACCTCTGAACTTCGTGCCAAATCACAAGAGGATATACACTGAAAATAACCAGCAAGGGCCCAACTGCTGCTTGGTGAGAACGCTGAGCTCTAAGTACAGATTCAGATATCCTTTGAGTCTGCATGGTTGGTTTGTACTCTGGTGTCTGCAGACATGAAAGCCCAGAACAAGGACCCTATGGCTCAATGGTGAGTTTATGACTCCTTGGAATATCACCAGAGGGACAGAACCAGAGAAGGAAGTGGCCAGTTTGCCTGCCCTGCTGTCCTGGCCAGGATGAAGAAGACAGAGAGAGGCAGGCATTCTGAGCTGGTGCTGTTCCTGCTGAGGCTCTCCCCTTCTCCCATAGCAGACTTAAATCAGGGCAGGTCTGCCCAAAGAAAGTACATGGGACCCTGGCAGGCCCTTCTGGTGTCTGGAGAAATGGCAGCCTTCAGTGGTAGGAAAGGTGGTCAGCCAAAAGCAAAACCCAAAATGACACAAAGGGAAAACAGGAAGAGTCTGTGAAATAAAAACAGCAAGGAAAGTGTTTGCATTTAACACCCACAGTGTCCTACTTTTACCTTCCCAAGAGATAATTCTGTCATCTCCAGCCTGGTGCCAATTGTTTGCTCTGAATGCACGTGGAGGCTTGCAGTCACCAAGTTGGTCCAAAAACAGCTGAACTTGAACTCTGAGGGACTGACTGGGTCCCCCTCCCAGTCGAGTCCATAGATATGTAAACTCAGATACACTCCCCAGAGATGAGGGTCTCTCAGCCTGAGCTGGCCTCCAGCCTTCTCAAACCCCCTGGAAGTGGTGTTTGCAGCCTGGTGACCAGCAGAATCCCAGACACTAGGTTGGTCCTTTCATAATTCTCACCAGGGAGATCCTCAACAAGACTCTACAGGCAGAGCCCCCAGCCTCAGTCTGTGAATACAAGCAAGCCTTTTTCAGGCTGTCCTAGGTGGCTGTGGAGAGGAGCAAACCATTTATCCATCCATCCATCCATCCATCCATCCATCCATCTAACACTACTCACCATGTAGGAAGGAAAGATCAGAACTCGCTTGTGCTTGCCACAAGGCCACTGAGGGTCGTCCAAGAGATTTGGGTCATAGTCCATAAAGTCTCCAAGGTCACTACCTGAAGATCACATGCAAAATGAAAATTAGAGGCCCTGGACCCTCTGAGGCAGAGGCAGGTGGGAGAATGCTAGGTACCGTTTCAGAAGGCAGGTTGGCTTTGGTTCAGCCTTACAACCTGGCTCTGAACTTCGTGATTGCTGCATGTCAATGAGGTGCATCTTCTCACAGAAGGATTTAGCAAATTCTTACCATTCTGACATTTCTTTCCCATTTTGAAAGCTATACACTACTCTCCCTGACCCAGAAGATCACAAAACTTCACACAGCATACAGCATGCAGAGAGTCCTGGCAGATTAGAGCACTGCCCAGAGAAGGTTCATTTTCTAAACTTGCACACCAAATTAGTGGACCATCCAAGACCATGACTTGAGGCAAAAGCTTCCAGGCAGGCTACTGTGTGTGGATGAACTCAAACCAGAGCAGCCACCAATGTGCAGAGATATAAATGACCACAGGTGGCCAGGGTATTAAGACAGATGCTGGGTGACCTAGGAATTGCTGGAGAGGACACACAATCTTGCTTCCTAAGGAGTTTTTGCCCTCATGCTGACTCTTACAAAAGTTCCTGTGGGCCTCTTTCAGCAGCCAGCTCAGCTGATGCACCATGATTACCACAGAGGAAACTCTCACCCTCACCCTGTACTTCAGGGCCTAATTATTTGGGATTAAAAACCCAAAAGCCAAAGTCTATGATGCTGGACAGTATAACCAAGTCAATGAGGAACTGAGTAGTCAAGAGAAGCTGGGAAGGCTGGTCCTCTCTGCTTGGTGCAGATGGCCTTGGCTTTGTCCTTGTAGGTAGGCCCCAGAGGGTTGGTCTTCTCTCCACTTAGCTCACCTGCTTATGAGTCCACATGGCTTGAGATGAGGCTTTCCCATCACCTCACCAGTAGGCCTGTCCTCTAGTTCTCACAAAGGGAGACCTCATCTATGCTGCAAACTGAGGCACCTCCCACCATGAGCTAGCAAACCCCACCAGGCCAGGCTGAGTTACCTGTGTCGAGGCTCCCCTGGGTGCTGCTGGCCCGGCCTATGGAGAGGCTGCGGTGGCTCAGGTTACGGAACTGGGAGAAGGAAGAGGTGGAGTCTATGGTATTTCTCCGGGCTCCGAAGGCATTTGTGGGTAACAGAAATTGGGTATAAGAAACTGTCTAAAAGGTGAAAATAAAAACAAACCAGTGATTATTCTCAGGCAATATCAGCTTGCATTCTGACCAAGGATATGTTGCCATCCCAAGTGCAAGTATACTTTCAAATGGGCAATTCTAAAATCCCAATGAGATCTGAAAACTGCAATTTGTTTTGGTACTCACTTGTGCTATTTTGTGCCAAAATCTCACCAGAATGGACTTGACGCTATGTACAGTTCTAATCCATCTCACTCGCTGTAACTATTCCTGTTATGCTGTGTCAGACAGGTACTGTTGCAGAATGTGCTGGGGTACTGTGTCCTACACAAGGCACATGCTGTATTGCAACTTATAATCTACCAAGTGCAGAATTCCAGAACACACCAAGCCACAAGAGTCTCTGATAAGCGCTGTGGACTCCTCTCGTGCTCCTCTGGCAGGCGCTGTTCCTGATGCTCAACTCTAGTCCACCCTCCCTCATGAGCACTCACCCTTCAGAAATGAAGAGGAAGCAAGTGCACTGCTGTTCACCTGGCTGGAAGGTGCCTTGCACCCACCCCACCTGCCCCTTGAGTTCAGGGATCATGTCTTTTGGCACAGAAGTGACCAGCTGCCCTGGGGATGAGGACAGTTTCTCCAAAGAAACATAGGCTTTGACAGGGTTTAGGTAGACTTCCTGGACCCACCACAGGAAGGGCAGGTTCATCTTTCAACTTACAGACCTCAACCTAGCAGCTCACTGTATTGTGGATGAAAGAGGAGTGTGACAGCTTTGCTGCTTGGTGGTCAATGTATAAGGAAGAGAGACTAGGCTTCTTGGGACCATAAGAAGCCAGAAGCGTTTCTAGTAGCTACAATGAGAACCCAAAAACTTTTCTAGGAGCTGGCATGTTGCTTGCTGACACCTCCAGTTCATGGAGGTTCAAATCACCAGTCCATCCTGGAATGTGCACGCATGATTGTGTAGGCATTACATTACAAGTGAGTCTCATGGGCTGTCTCAGTCTGTACCACTGCCTCTGCTTCCTGATTCTGCAGTAATTGAAAGCCAGGCAGCCTTACCTTCCCATCAGCACCCAGCTCCACACCTTCAAGGCCGATGATCTCTTTCAAGCTCATGGCACCTGTTGATTGTCTCCCTCCATCCAACTTCAAATCCCTGGGGAGGACAAGCCAAAGGGGAAAAAGGCTCTTGTGTGTGCCCTAACAAGTGACAATGGCGCTTACTGCATGAGACACCACAGTCACACTCATGAAATGACCAACTGGTCTCAGAGGATGGCATGTCCCTTTGTCCTTGGGAAATTTTCAGTGATGGTCTGGGGGGCAATTCTATCTTGTTTCATTCACATTGACATAAATAAAGTCCAAAGGAACTAAAAGTGCAAAGATGGAAGTCAGGCTCAGAAGCTAATGATTTGCCCAAATCCTTTCTTCCACTAGGTTCTTAATGACAGCCAGTCAGTAAGAAGCTGGGAACCCCCGAGAACTGAAGACGGTGGATCACTTGGGCTCTAGCTGCGTGGTTCTTTTTAGAGCTGGAGAGACCATTTCTCCTTGCCACTCTCCTTTATCAGACAAGAAAAATAAATATCCTACATGGCCTTCGGGTTTTCAGCAGGTAAGGAAAAGATTAATATCGCAATATTCAGTTCAACCACCTTGCCAAGCTACCTAGAAAATGAGTATATTTTTATAAAAGAATAATCCCCAGGAATAACAAACACATTTATATAGCACTGCACAATTTTCAAAGACATTTATCTATCATCCTTTTGGTTCTTTAAGATGATCTGAAGGGCTGAGGCTGTAACTCAGTGATAGAGCACTTGTGTAGCATTCACAAGGTCCTGGGTTCAATCCTCAGCACTAAAAGAAAAATAAACGAAGCCAAAATGACACTGTAAGACAAGTGTAATATTAGTAACCCATTTTACAGAGGCAGAAACTGAGGGCCAGAGTAGGTAAATGGCTACCACCAGGATAGTAGGTTGTAGGACTGGTTTTGAATCCAATGCTCTTTGCAGGATGTGGCATTGCCCTGGAGATGAAGATAGGCTTGCCATGACATATGCTCATGTGAAACTGCTCACTTGTCAAAGGAGGCTCCCCCTCCTTACAGGAGCTGCTCAAGTTTTGCTCTATGTTAGAACTGCCTGGGGACCTCTGACAACCTACTGCTGCCCACCCCTCCTCCATCACCCTACATTGATCAGTCTGAAGTGGGACCTGGGCATGTGGAGTTCTAGGTCATTCCCAAGGAATACTAAATGGCAGGCACATTTGGGAACTGACTTCCAGCTTCCGTCTCTATGGTACACAGTGCTGGTTAGCAAAGGCCACCTCACACTGACACCATTCTCGCCATGGGACCTGAAAGGAGGCACCATACTCAGGGGCCAAGAACAAGTCTGATGTACAGGCAAAGTTCTCCCAGCCAAAGGTAACAGGGAAAAGGAGAGAGAGGAAGTGATGAGTGGGAAGAAAAGAAAAGGCCACTCTCAAATGTGGAGGAAAACCAGGGATTCTCTGATTCTGTTCAGCCAAGGCCCTATGGGCCTTCCAAAGCTGGACTGGCTCCCTTATCCCACCTAGAGTGCAGAGTTTGATCTGCAACAGCTTTCAAAATCAACTCCAGGCTGTCTGCACCCAGCTTTACAGCAGTCTCCTTGGGAGGCTATGGCCCTGCCAGGCTCAAAATGACACCATTCATTCAGAACAAAAGCAAGCAATGAGCCCAACCCACAGCCTTCCATCGTTCCATGCATAGGTTTTTGGTGTTTTCTTTAAAACCCTAAACTCAGTGCTTCCCCAACTCCTGTTTATACCCTACATGTAAATTACTTCAATAATTCCAAACCTGCACCTTAAGGGTGGCATAGGTCAGTTCAGTCTCAGAATTGTAAATGCTTAGCTAGAATGAAGACTTCAAGAAGGTTCTGTGCAACACAGCAACTTTCACACGCATGTGAGTTTCCCCATGATGCTCCTTCTGATGGGGATTGTGCTCCCTGAGGGCTGCGAGGTCCAGGACTACTTAAATTACATCACTTTCTAAACATGCTGGCAGCCTAGAAGCAAGCAGGGACTCTTGAGACCAGCAGACATCTAGGGATTGTCCACACCCATAAGACCATCACCTCATCCCTCCGCCTGTTCCATGAGCTTCCCAGGGCAATTCCCAGAAGACTTCTCAAAGCAACTGAGAATGGAGATGATGAATGCACCAGGGCACTTGGCAGGAAAGATGCCTACGAAGTAAAAACTTGAACCCCTATGGGGTGGGTAGGGAGCAAGGGGAGCAAAGGGCTCCAGCGAGCTCCACACACCACCTTCCCACAGCCAGCCCAGCAGGCAGGTGCCTCAAACCCCCAACTCCAAAGCAATTTTCTCCTGGTGCCCATTTGCTCAGAAAATGGAATTTAAGGCTGAGATTAGTACAAAAGCAGGGAACATCTTTCTGGGGAGAGCTGGCTCTGGAGTTTAAGCCTACATTAAGAATGCTCCCAGATGGAAGGGTTGGAGGCATGGCTCAAGTGGTAGAGTGTGAGGATTGAGGCGGCCCTCCTAAAAAAGGGAGGGGAGGGAAGGACGGGGGAGAAGAGGAGAGGGAGGAGAGGAGAGAAGAGGAGAGAACAGGAGTGGAGAGGGAGGCTGTTCCCAGAAGGAGCAGGCAGGGGGTCCCATTCCATTTTCCAGCCCTGCCTGGAACAGTGTCTCACATGTTAAGAATCTTGAAGTACTTCCTAAGTGGTGGCAATCTGGCCACAGTTAACAGATTCATGCCTCTTCCTGCATCCCCTTCTTATCACTTCCTCCAAGGGGAAAGACGCCCTAACAAAAAATGTATTTAATGTGCTCGTATAAAATCCAAGACTCCTCTCTACACGTGTCAACCCCTAAACCTTACTTAAACAGGGATTCAGAGACTCTGGATTGTCCAAGTGCCTCAAGGACACCTGGAACCACGTGGAAGAGAAAGATGGCTGGGCTAGGCTCCCACAGACACCAATCTTTGAAGAATTAGTATGAGTCGTTGCTGTCACCACTTCCTGCTGGCCTTTCACTTACATCACTTTACCTTTGAGCATGAGTAAGAAAAGGAGGAACAGCAGGTCCACCTTTATAGGCTGCTTGACTCACACATGGCTCAGGGCAGATCAGAGCTCCTCCTCCAGCTGGAGGTACTGTCCTTCTGTGCTGTCCCACATGCTAAGTCACTGGTTGCATGTGGCAACTGAGTGCTTGAGATTTGGCCAGCTGACTGAGGAACCCAATTTTTAATTGTATGCAATTTTAATCAATTTGAGTATAAACAGCCACAGGTGGCTAGTGGCAGCCATACCCAACTGAGTCTTAGTGCTTCCTTGTCAGGACCTTGACTGCCAATCACTGGTGACTTCCTGCAAGACCATGATCACACAGGGTACATTTAATGATTTGGGTCTGGTGTCTTGTTTTCTTCCCCAAAGTGACCTGGCAGTTTTCTGCCTATGGCCTCAGGGATGTTTACCTTACAGGCCTCAGCTCACTGAAGAGACACATCAGGGGTCCTAGAGGCAGGACCCTGCAGGTGGAGCCAGCACTGTGCAGAGGGAAATAATGACCATGAGGTCCCCAGGCCTAGTGGCACTCCATCAACAACCCCCAAATAGGGTTCTCAGCCATAATTAAAATTCACAGCCCAGTCCGTGGCACAGAGCAGTGCATCCTTCTGCCTGAGAGGTTATGGGGACAGGAGTAGCAGGGGTGTTGGCAGTGCCAGAGCACATCAGTGAGCAGTGACTAGAGAGCGGCCCTAGTCACTGTCCTAGGTATTACAAGGGCCTCCAGGCCCTTCATCATGCAATCCTGGACAGTGGGGTGGTGGGGTACCCAGGAAAACTGAATTTGAACTTCTCTTCAGCCTGTGTGTGTGTGTGTAATAGTTCGTTTAAGGTAAATCAAAAGACAAGAGGTATTTCTTGCAACTGTGGCTGGTGCCCTCCTGTCTGCCACATGCAGACTTCAAAACTGTCACTGACTCGCTAATGAACATAACAGTCACTCTAGAACATGAAGTGCTTTGGGATGACTGGATGCACACTTTTCTGTATTCTCTCCCTTGGCTTCAGGGAGGGGTGGTCACTCAGGCTGAGAGGTTGCCTTCTTAGTGGGTGTGAATTAGAGCACGTGGGTAGCCACGGATGCTCTTCTAGTCACATCACAGGAAACAGAGTAGAGCTCATTTAGGCCTTTCTAATGAATGTCAGTTATTTTCACAGCTGTTGAATTTGTGTATCATAAGATAGCTGAGACCTGAAGACACGAAGATGCTGACAAACTTCTGTGGGTTGATTTTTCTTGCTAAGTGCTTTGGATAAATGTCACTGCAACCTGATAGTAACATGAACCACTGGAAATAGCCCTCCTGGGCCATACTCCACCTGTAACAACAATTTCACATTGTACCCCTAAGACTGCAGAAACTGCCCAGGCAGTGTGAGTGCAAAACAAGCTAGAGAGCCATGGGCTTACAGCCGCCTTCAGAAGCCTAAAGGGATGGAGCTGCTGGCAGAAAGGAGCTATGGGTGGTACAGATTCACCTAGAAAGAATTCTTAAAACTTCCAATGAAAGAATGGAGTAAGCTGGGCACCAGTGGCTCATGTCTGTAATCCTAGCTTGTCAGGAGGTAGAGATCAGGAGGATTGTAGATCGAAATCAGACCCTATCAGACAAAACAGGGCTGGTGGAGTGGCTCAAGTAGTAGAGTGCCTATCAAGCATGAGGTCCTGCATGGCCAAAAAACCCCCAAACAGTGCGTAGAAGTCCCAGAGGAGAAGGGATAAAATTTCCATGTTTTCTAAGATCATTATTCTGAATTCTTTTAAAATAATTACAAAAATAAAAATATCTGTGGGTTCACATGCCAGCATTAATCCCAGCACCAGGAGACAATGTTGGAGAACAGAAACCAGCAGCGGGAAGTCATTGAAAGTAAAGCGAAGTTGGACTTTTCAACTTCTTTGAAAACCTCGAGGATTTTCTCGGATAAAGCTAGAGGTCAAATACTCATTTATTTATACTCCACCTCCTTTTAAAAATAGAAGAGGCAAGTTCAAACACCACTTGTGGATTTTGCCCCAAACTGTGTGAATTAAGGTTTAAAGGTGAACACA